CAAGAAACAAGGGGAAAAAAAAGCAATTGAAAGCATCATGAAAGCAATAGGAGAAGACGACATGACCCAGCTGGAAAATTTTCGGAGAATAGGGGGGTTTGTAAAAAAAAAAGAACCGGCCAGTGAGAGTGACCTTCAAGGGAGAAGCGACTCGGACCAGGACCTGCAGGAGAAAGCACGATTAAGGGACATGACGGCATACAGGAAGGTGTATCTCGACTGCGAAGAACACAAGAAGAAAGGAAGAAACTGAGAGAGATGGTACAAAGGCGAAAGGAGGAAAGAGAGGGGATGGAGAAAACAGACAGGAGATCCCAGGGTCCGGAGAAGATCAAATATAGCCTCCCTCACAACTTCCTATAGAAGCCTCCCAACCAGGTCAACCCCAGTGCAACCAAACACTCTAAATCAAACACCCATGCCACATCCAATGCCCCCACCCACTACATTACAAACTTCACCCCCACAGCAACAACCCATAGTTCCTTACCAGGGCTCCCACTTCCCCAACCCCAATATACTTCCCCGACCCCCAGTCTTAGAAAAAAATTGAAGGTGTGGTATACAAATGCAGAGGAATAACAAACAAGTATGAGGAGTGGCACGAAAGAATCAAAGAGACATCCCCAGACATAATAGCACTCACAGAAACAAAACTCACCAGATAATAACAGATTCAATCTTTCCATCCGGATATCAAATCCTCAGGAAAGACAGAGGGAGGAGAGGGGGAGGAGGAGTTGCACTGCTCAATTAAAAAAACCCGTGGGGTTTTGAGAAAATGGAAGGAATGGATGGCATGGGGGAAAGGGACTACTTAGTAGGAACAATCCAGTCTGAGGGAAAATAAGGTGATAATTGCAGTAATGTACAACCCACCACAGAACTGCAGGAGGCCCAAAAGAAGAATACGATGAGAGCAACCCGAGCAATGATCGACACACTAGCCGAGGTGGCCAGGAGAGCACACATGGGGGAGCAAAGTTACTAGTTATGGGTGAATTTCAATCACAAGGAGATTGACTGGGAAAACCTGGAGCCCCATGGGGGGCCCGAAACAGGAGAGCCCAAAATGATGGATGTGGTACTGGAGAACCCCCATGCCTCAAAATGTTAGAGACACTACCAGAGAGAGAGGAGAGGATGAACCAGCAAGGTTGGACCTTGTATTCACCATGAGTAGTTCGGACATCGAGGGTATCATGTATGAAAGGCCCCTGGGAGCTAGTGATCATGTGGTTCTGTGCTTCGACTACATAGTTGAGCTCCAAGTGGAGAGAAATAGCAGGAATAGGCTGGGAAAAAAAAACCAAACTACAAAAGGGGGAACTACTCAGGCATGAATAACTTCCTTCAAGACATTCAGTGGGAGAGGGAACTGACAGGAAAACCAGTACAAGAAATGATGGACATTGTAGCAACAAAATGGAAGGAGGCAGAGGAGAGGTTTTTTTCCCAAGGGGAAACAGAAATAATGGGAAGAACAGAACGAGTCCTTGGTTCACCCAAAGGTATAGGGAGGCAAAAAAATAGGTGTACTAGAGAATGGAAAAGGTACAGAAGACAGAGAACTCAGGAAAATAAAGAAATCAGCCGAAGAGCCAGAAACGAATATGCACAGATAAGAAGGGAGGCTCAGAGACAATATGAAAATGACATAGCATCAAAAGTAAAGACTGACCCGAAGCTGTTGACAGCCACATCAGGAGGAAAACAACAGTCAAGAACCAGGTAAATCAGACTGAGGAAGGATGATGGGGAATTCACAAGAAACGACCGAGAGGTATGTCAGGAGCTCAAAACAAGATTTAAAGAGGTATTTACAGTGGAAACCAGTAGGGCTTTCCCAAAAAATCAGAACAGGGGGGCACACCAGCAAGTGCTGGATGAGGTACATATAACCAAGGAGGAGGTGAAGAAGCTGCTATGCGAACTTGACACCTCAAAGGCGGGGGGGACCAGACAAAAATCTCCCATGGGTCCTTAAAGAGGAGCAGAGATATTGTGTGAGCCATTAACAAAGATCTTCAACACTCATTTGAAACTGGGAAATCCCTGGGGTAGGAAAATGGAAAATGTAGTCCCTTTTTTTAAAAAGGGAGACAGAATGAGGAAAAAACTAAGACCTTATCATACGTGTTAGTAGCAAGGTCATGGAAAAGTCATCGGAGGAGATGGGGGGCCCCTGGAAAAGAAACAAGTTTAAAATTGAAAACCCACACGGTTTAGGAAGGAAAATCCTGTGTCCAACCTACAGATTTTTTATGACAAGGTGAAAAATAAGACAAAAGGAAGGGGGGGTCGACGCGATTTTTGGACTGCAGAAGGCCTTCGACACAGTCCTCACAAGAGGTTACTGCAAAAGTAGGGACCGGGCACACAAAAACGGGAAAGGCACTGCAATGGTCAAGTATCTGACAGGGAGGGGGAACAAAGAGTCATGGTACGCGACGAGGTTCAGAGTGGGCCTGTGACAAGCGGGGTTTCCACGGGGTCAGTCCTTGGACCTGAGCTGTTTTGGTATACGTAAAAAACATAACGGAAGGGATAGACTCAGAAGTGTCCTTTTTTGGCAGATGATGTGAAGTTAATGAGAAGAATCAAATCGGACGAGGATCAGGCAGGACTACAAAGAGACCTGGACAGGCTACAAGCCTGGTCCAGCAACTGGCTCCTTGAATTTAACCCTGCCAATGCAAAGTCATGAAGATTGGGGAAGGGCAACAGAAGACCGCAGACACAATATAGTTTTAGATGGCCAAAGACTGCAACCTCACTCAAGGAAAAAGATCTGGGGGTGAGTATAACACCGAGCATATCTCCTGAGGCGCACATCAATCAGATAACTGCTGCAGCATACGGGCGCCTGGCAAACCTACGGATAGCGTTCCGATACCTCAGTAAGGATTCGTTTAAGACTCTGTACACCATCTACGTCAGGCCCATACTGGAGTATGCAGCACCAGTTTGGAATCCACACCTAGTCAAGCACGTCAAGAAATTAGAGAAGTGCAAAGGTTTGCAACAAGACTAGTCCCAGAGCTACGGGGATTGTCCTATGAAGAAAGGTTGAGGGAAATCGGCCTGACGACACTGGAGGCCAGGAGGGTCAGGGGAGACATGATAACGACATATAAAATACTGCGCGGAATAGACGAGGTGGACAAAGACGGATGTTCCAGAGATGGGACACAGACACAAGAGGTCACAATTGGAAGTTGAAGACTCAGATGAATCAAAGGGATGTTAGGAAGTATTTCTTCAGTCATAGAGTAGTCAGGCCATGGAATAGCCTAGAAAGTGATGTGGTGGAGGCAGGAACCATACATAGTTTTAAGGCGAGGTATGATAGAGCTCATGGGGCAGGGAGAGAGAGGACCTAGTAGCAATCAGCGAAGAGGCGGGGCCAGGAGCTGTGAATCGACCCCTGCAACCACAAATAGGTGAGTACAAATAGGTGAGTACACACACACACACACACACACGCACGAACACACACACACACACACTATACCTCTTTGGCTTACCTCTTGGCTGACCACCTGGCTCACCACCTGGCTCACCACCTGGCTCGCCACTTGGCTCACTACCTGGCTCACCACCTGGCTCACCACCTGGCTCACCACCTGGCTCGCCACCGGCTCACCACCTGGCTCACTACCTGGCTCACCACCTGGCTCACCACCTGGCTCACCACCTGGCTCACCACCTGGCTCACCACCTGGCTCGCCACTTGGCTCACCACCTGGCTCACCACCTGGCTCACCACCTGGTCACCACCTGGCTCGCCACCGGCTCACCACCTGGCTCACTACCTGGCTCACCACCTGGCTCACCACCTGGCTCACACATGGCTCACCACCTGGCTCACCACCTGGCTCACCACCTGGCTCACCACCTGGATCACCACCTGACTCACCACCTGGCTCACCACCTGGCTCACCACCTGGCTCACCACCTGGCTCACCACCTGGCTCACTACCTGGCTCACCACCTGGCTCACCACCTGGCTCACCACCTAGCTCACCACCTGGCTCACCACCTGGCTCACCACCTGGCTCACCACCTGGCTCACCAACCTGGCTCACCACCTGGCTCACCACCTGGCTGACCACCTGGCTCACCACCTGGCTCACCACCTGGCTCACCACCTAGCTCACCACCTGGCTCACCACCTGGCTCACCACCTGGCTCACCACCTGGCTCACCACCTGGCTCACCACCTGGCTCACTACCTGGCTCACCACCTGGCTCACTACCTGGCTCACCACCTGGCTCACCACCTGGCTCACCACCTGGCTCACCACCTGGCTCACCACCTGGCTCACTACCTGGCTCACCACTGGCTCACCACCTGGCTCACCACCTGGCTCACCACTTTCCTACACTGTAAATCAAACCTGGGCGTTTCAACCTTTTATCCAGGTCCAATACACCACCTGGCTCACTTGATAGAGATAATATTTTTTCTCTCTTTGGGAACTTTCAATTAGACAATTCGCTTAATAATTATAATTACACAAACAATAACTAACAATAATAATAAAACAAACTACAACTCAACGACACGATATGCTTCTAAAGGTCTCGAAACACACAAACAGCGGCTTTCACATATGTTCAATGTCCAGGCAATACTGACTTACAACAGACAAAAACATACTCACAGCACTAGACACACACTCAACACTGAGCCATACTCACTCACCACCTCTCACCACACACACACACACAACACCACACACACACACACACAACCACACACACACCACACACACACACATCACACACACACCAGCACCTGGCCCCCACGTCTCACTCACGACACCACCCTCCACACGGAATCACCCCTAGCCCCACCTCTCGCCACTGGCTCACCACGGCTCACCACGGCTCACATGGCTCACACCGCTCACACAATACTTCTACTCAACTTCAATATGAACAACGCCTATAATACATAAAACACTAATACATAAAACACATAACACATTAACAACATGGTACTGAGACAGATTGTGTCCAGTGTCTTTCGTAATCAGGTAACTAACATGCGCGTTTCATGGTTAATTCACTGAGCAATATTTTGAGTCTTGCGATATGACAAGTTCTATCTCCTCGCACTGTAGGTTCTGCCTGCAATTCTCCTCTCATCAGGTCGTTCTTACACACACTCACACTACACAGTACTACACACTCACACACACCAGTCACATTACAACACTCCACCTGCAGGTGATACTCAACCTCCACAGGTGACGCTACAACCTCACACACCATACAACTCACCTCCCAGGGAGATACTCAAACCTCACAACAGAGTCGTACTCACCTCCACTGCACTGTTCCAACCTCCCCTCAGGTGAGTCTCAACCTCCCTGCAGGTGAGTACCCCAACCTCCCCTGCAGTGAGTTCTCAACTCTCCTGCAGGTGAGATTACTCAACCTCTCCTGCAGGTGAGTTTAACCTCTCCTGCAGGTGATACTCAACCTCCCCTGCGGTGAGTATATCACTCCCCCACGTGAGTATCTCAACTCTCCTGCAGGTGAGTTTCAACCTCCCTGCAGGTGAGTCTACCTCTCATGCAGGAGTCTCAACTCTCCCTGCAGAGGGAGTTCTAACCTTCCTGACAGGTTGAGTACTCAACCCTCCCTCAGGTGAGTCTCAACCTCTCCTGCAGGTGAGTACTCAACCTCCCCTGCAGGTGAGTCTCAACCTCCCCTGCAGGTGAGTTCTCAACCTCTCCTGCAGGTGAGTACTCAACCTCCTCCTGCAAGGTGAGTATCAACCTCCCTGCAGGTGAGTTCTCACCTCCCCTGCAGTTGAGTTCTCAACCTCTCCTGCAGGTGAGTACTCAACCTCCCCTGCAGGTGAGTACTCAACCTCTCCTGCAGGTGAGTTCTCAACCTCTCCTGCAGGTGAGTACTCAACCTCCCCTGCAGGTGAGTTCTCAACCTCTCCTGCAGGTGAGTACTCAACCTCCCCTGCAGGTGAGTACTCAACCTCCCCTGCAGGTGAGTACTCAACCTCCCCTGCAGGTGAGTACTCAACCTCTCCTGCAGGTGAGTACTCAACCTCCCCTGCAGGTGAGTTCTCAACCTCTCCTGCAGGTGAGTACTCAACCTCCCCAGGTGAGTACTCAACCTCCCCTGCAGGTGAGTACTCAACCTCCCCTGCAGGTGAGTTCTCAACCTCTCCTGCAGGTGAGTACTCAACCTCCCCTGAAGGTGAGTACTCAACCTCCCCTGAAGGTGAGTACTCAACCTCCCCTGAAGGTGAGTACTCAACCTCCCCTGCAGGTGAGTACTCAACCTCTCCTGCCAGGTGAGTACTCAACCTCCCTGCAGGTGAGTACTCAACCTCTCCTGCAGGTGAGTACTCAACCTCCCCTGCAGGTGAGTACTCAACCTCCCTGCAGGTGAGTACTCAACCTCCCTGCAGGTGAGTACTCAACCTCTCCTGAGGTGAGTACTCAACCTCCCTGCAGGTGAGTACTCAACCTCCCCTGCAGGTGAGTACTCAACCTCCCCTGAGGTGAGTACTCAACCTCCCTGCAAGGTGAGTACTCAACCTCCCCTGAAGGTGAGTACTCAACCTCCCCTGCAGGTGAGTACTCAACCTCCCCTGCAGGTGAGTACTCAACCTCTCCTGCAGGTGAGTACTCAACCTCCCCTGCAGGTGAGTACTCAACCTCCCTGCAGGTGAGTACTCAACCTCCCCTGCAGGTGAGTACTCAACCTCCCTGCAAGGTGAGTACTCAACCTCCCCTGAAGGTGAGCTACTCAACCTCCCCTGCAGGTGAGTACTCAACCTCCCCTGAAGGTGAGTACTCAACCTCCCCTGAAAGGGTGAGTACTCAACCTCCCCTGAAGGTGAGTCACTCAACCTCCCCTGAAGGTGAGTACTCAACCTCCCCTGCAGGTGAGTACTCAACCTCCCCTGAAGGTGAGTACTCAACCTCCCTGAAGGTGAGTACTCAACCTCCCTGCAGGTGAGTACTCAACCTCCCCTGAAGGTGAGTACTCAACCTCCCTGCAGGTGAGTACTCAACCTCCCTGAAGGTGAGTACTCAACCTCCCCTGAAGGTGAGTACTCAACCTCCCCTGAAGGTGAGTACTCAACCTCCCCTGAAGGTGAGTACTCAACCTCCCCTGAAGGTGAGTACTCAACCTCCCCTGAAGGTGAGTACTCAACCTCCCCTGAAGGTGAGTACTCAACCTCCCATGAAGGTGAGTACTCAACCTCCCTGCAGGTGGTATCAACCTCCTGAAGGTGAGTACTCAACCTCCCCTGAAGGTGAGTACTCAACCTCCCCTGAAGGTGAGTACTCAACCTCCCCTGAAGGTGAGTACTCAACCTCCCCTGCAGGTGAGTACTCAACCTCCCCTGAAGGTGAGTACTCAACCTCCCCTGCAGGTGAGTACTCAACCTCCCCTGAAGGTGAGTACTCAACCTCCCCTGAAGGTGAGTACTCAACCTCCCTGAAGGTGAGTACTCAACCTCCCCTGAAGGTGAGTACTAAAACCTCCCCTGAAAGGTGAGTACTCAACCTCCCCTGAAGGTGAGTACTCAACCTCCCCTGCAGGTGAGTACTCAACCTCTCCTGCAGGTGAGTACTCAACCTCTCCTGCAGGTGAGTACTCAACCTCCCCTGAAGGTGAGTACTCAACCTCCCTGCAGGTGAGTACTCAACCTCCCTGAAGGTGAGTACTCAACCTCCCCTGAAGGTGAGTACTCAACCTCCCCTGAAGGTGAGTACTCAACCTCCCCTGCAGGTGAGTACTCAACCTCCCCTGAAGGTGAGTACTCAACCTCCCTGAAGGTGAGTACTCACTCCTGCAGGTGAGTACCAACCTCCCCTGAAGGTGAGTACTCAACCTCCCCTGCAGGTGAGTACTCAACCTCCCCTGAAGGTGAGTACTCAACCTCCCCTGAAAGGTGAGTACTCAACCTCCCTGAAGGTGAGTACTCAACCTCCCCTGAAGGTGAGTCTCAACCTCCCTGAAGGTGAGTACTCAACCTCCCCTGCAGGTGAGTTCTCAACCTCCCCTGCAGGTGAGTACTCAACCTCCCCTGCAGGTGAGTACTCAACCTCCCCTGCAGGTGAGTACTCAACCTCTCCTGCAGGTGAGTACTCAACCTCCCCCTGCAGGTGAGTACTCAACCTCCCCTGCAGGTGAGTACTCAACCTCCCCTGCAGGTGAGTACTCACTCCCTGAGGTGAGTACTCAACCTCCCCTGCAGGTGAGTACTCAACCTCGGATTATTATATAATTATTATTATAATTATCATTATATTATTATTAGTAGTATTAATACTAAGTATTATATAATCATTATTATAATTATTATTGTATTTTTATCATTATTGTTATCGTTTATTATTATTATTATCTAGTTATATTATTATTATAATATTATTATATATTATTATTGTTATATTATTATCATTATTGTTATCGTTTATTATTATTATTATTATATTATTATTATTATTATTATTATTATATTTGTTATGGATAATAATGAGTTTGATCCGAGGAAGTGGAGGGTTGCTCTACTTCCTTGGATTAAGAGTCTTTCAAGGGCATCAAATACAGCTCTTTTTCTGTTTTAAAATGCAGGTGTTTTTGCCTTTAAATACAGGTGTTTTTATACAGGTGTTCTCGTATATTTAAACACAGGTTTTCTGGTGTATCTCTGGCTCACATATATTTTTCCTGTGTTGTAGAAGCCTGCGCATCGCCTTTAAAACTCACCCCCTCCCTACTGTCTATAACTGTCTATCTATCTGTCTATCACGATGACTACGACACCTGCAGGGGCACCTCGCTCTTCCACAACTACGCCTTGGTGATGTACAGCCTACCCGACCTTCTGGAGGTAGGCCTACCCTCCCTCACCACCATCCTGCGCGGCTCCGTCAGGATTGAGAGGAATCCTGCGCTGTGTTACGCAAATAGTGTAGACTGGAACGCCATTACCAGCTACGGCATGGGGAACAACGTCATTAAGGTGAGAATGGGGGGAGGGGTATATATGTGTGTATATACGCAGTTTGAGGAGTGGGTAGGGTAGGGTTTAAGAGGATCTGGCATAGGGTAGGGCCAGGAGCTGTGACTTGACACCCTGCAACCATATATAGGTCCGTATACACACACACACAGTCTCTCTCTCTCACACACACACACACACATACACACACTATCTCTCACACACATACACTCACACACACACATATATACACGTACACACATATATACACACACACACAAACATATACACAACACAACACACACACACACATACACACACACACACACACACACACACACACCGATGGAAATTTGAGAAAATGGAAGGAATGGACGAAATGGGTGAAAGGAACTACACAGTAGGTACAATTCAGTCTGAGGGACATAAGGTACCACTGCAGTGATGTACAACCCGCCACAGAACAGCAGGAGGCCAAGAGAGGATATAAAGAGACCAACAGTGCAATGGTGGATACACTAACTGAGGTGACCAGAAGAGTTCACACCGGTAGAGCAAAGGTACTAGTTATAGGTGATTTCAATCACAGGGAAACTGATTGGGAAAACCTGGAGCCACATGGGGGTCCCGAAACATGAAGAGCCAAGATGATGGATGTGGTACTGGAAAACCTCATGCATCAACATATTAGGGACACTACCAGAGAGGAGAGAGAAGTGAGGATGAACCAGCAAGACTGGACCTCGTATTCATCCTGAGTAGCTCGGACATCGAGGACATCACGTATGAAAGACCCCTCGGAGCTAGTGATCATGTGTTTCTGAGCTTTGAATACATAGGAGCGTTACAAGTGGAGAGGGTAACAGGAGAAGGATAGGAAAAGCAAAACAAAAGAAAGAACTACACAGGCAAGAGGCACTTCCTGCAGGAGGTTCGATGGGAAAGAGAACTGGTAGGACAATCAGTAAACGAAATGATGGACTATGTGACAACAAAATGCAAGGAGGCAGAGGAAAGGTTTGTTTTTGTCTCCCTACACCCGAAGGTGTAGGGAGGCAAAAACTAAGTACGCTAGAGAATGGAAAAAGTACAGAAGACAAAGGACCCAGGAAGACAAAGAGCCAGAAACGAGTATGCACAGATAAGGAGGGAGGCCCAGCGACAGTACGAAAACGATATAGCATCGAAAGTCAAATTTGACCCGAATCTGTTGTATAGCCACATCAGGATGATCAGGTAATCAGGCTGAGGAAAGAAGGTGGGGAGCTCACAAGAAACGACCAAGAAGAATGTGAGGAGCTCAACATGAGATTTAAGGAAGTATTTACAGTGGAGACAGAAAGGACTCCGGGAAGTTCTACAGGCCAGTGTCACTGAAGTGTACAGTGTGCAAAGTCATGAGAAGATTATAAGGAGGAGAGTGGGGGAGCACCTAGAACGGAACAAGCTTATAAACGACAGCCAGCACAGATTCAGGGAAGGAAAATCCTGTGTCACAAACCTACTGGAGTTTTATAACAAGGTAACGGAAGTAAGACACGAGAGAGAGGGGTGGGTAGATTGCATTTTCTTGACCTGCAAGAAGGCCTTCGACACAGTTCCTCACAAGAGACTAGAGCAAAAGCTAGAGGATCGGACACAAACAGGAAGGGCCTGAAAGGATCGAGAATACCTGACAGGGAGGCAACACGGCATGGACGTGACAAAGTGTCAGAGTGGGCCCCCGTGACGGCGGGGTCCACAGGAGCCAGTCCAGGCCCAGTACTATTTTTCATATATGTGAACATGGGGAAAGGGGATAGATCAGAAGTGTCCTGTTTGCAGATGATGTGAAGTTAAGAAAGCTTAAATCGGATGAGGTCAGGAGGATTACAAAGAGCCTTGGACAGGGGGACTGGTCGTAATGGACCCTGGAATTTAACACTGAAAAAGCAAAATAATAAAATCGGGGGAAAAGAATCCCGCAGCGGGTATAGGTAGGGGGCCCAAGGCTGAAAAACTCGCTCGGGAAAAGGTCTTGGGGGGGTTGTACCGAGCACTTGAGGGACATAAACCAGAAAACTGTGCAGTTATGGGGCGGCAAAGTAAGAATAGCTTTCCCGATCCCTCAAAAAGGAATCTTAAGATTTGTACACATGTATCAGGCCCATACTGGAGTATGCACCCACATTTTGGGAACCCCAAACCCCTGGTAAAGTACATAAAAAAAATTTAAAAGAAAGCGCAAAGGTTTGCCAAGACTAGTGAGAGAAAGGGAATGTCCCACGAAGAAAGGTTAGGGGAAAACGGTTTGGCGACACTGGAGAAAGTGGGGTTTGAGGAGAATGGTA